CCAGGCGGACCAGCAGGCCCACCTTGCAGCCGGCCTCTTGGAAGTAGGCCATCGTGACCTTCCCCTCCTCCTCCTCCTCGTCCTCCTCCTCCTCCTCCTCCGTAGCCATTTTGGCTCAAGCCATTTGGGCTCAAGACCTCATGCATCAAGATGTCTCGGCATCCCACCAGCGGGTGGGCGTCTCGCGCGATGGCTGCTGGGCTGCTGCCGCCGTGGCTGCCTTCGTGACTTTTTGCTTCCTCTCCCACTCCAGCGTGGGCCTGTACGACATGCCGTGCTGTCGATCATATGTGAGTGCTGTGCAGGGAGGACTGGAGCTGTCTGCGGCGCAGGCCGCGCGTCGTGCCCGCGATAGTCACTACCGGTTCGTTGCGCACTCCAGGCCTGGCATGCGATTCCTGGAGGTGGCGGCGCAAGACAAGCAGGCGATCAAGGAGATGGCCAAGGGCAAGTCGCTCCACGCCTGCTTGGACCGCGCTCTGGGGCGGCCCCACACGTCTGGGAAGCAGGCGGCGCACCGAGCCTGGCGGGCTGGGCTCATGGACAAGCGTCAGCACAGCGCAGCTCGCCGCCTCCTGGAAGGAGCCGACCGTGCCAAGCACGAAACGGACGGTGTGGCTGAGCAGGTACCCCACGCCAAGCCTGTGAATGCCGTGCCGAAGCGGGCACCGTGGGCGGATGCAGCCGACGACCCTGGCCCTCCTGATCCTTCTGATGATGCGGACCTCAGCCGTGACGATGCTGGGTTACGTTGGGAGCATCACGGATTTGCTGCTGCTGCACATCCCACTGGACGCGCAAGCGCTAGTCTGGCTCAGGGTGCTCGTGCTGATGCTGCCACACAAACGACCCGCCACCAGGTCTGCCTGCAACAAGCTATTCCTGTCGCCCCTGCCGGTTGGCTGGCCCCTGGAGCGTGGGTGGCTGCAGGCGCGGCCCCTCCAGCTCCGCAAGATGCTGTCGTTCGTGCCCACCTTTCGCGTGGCGTTGATCTGCATGATGGTCCAGATGTTGGCGTGCCTGATGATTTCACTCCTGCCCACCTCTCGCGTGGTGCTGCTCTACATGAGGGTCCAGATGCAGACGTGCTTGCCCACCTCCCGCGTGGTGTTGCACAACGTGGTGAAGCTGGATGCCGCCTCGACGCCCTGAGCGGGGAGGAGCACGGGGATGTGACAGAAGTGCTCGGCCTGGACCTCGACGACCTCTGCGTCCGCGTGGCCCTGCTCGAGGGTGCGGAGAGGAAGCAGGCCGAGGAGTGCGCGACGGACTGCCTGCAGCTCCAGATCCAGGCGCTGTCCACGCGGCTGGAGGCGGTGGAGGCGTTCACGAAGACGCAGTCGCTGGCGGCGGAGGTCATAGCGCGAAGGACGGTGGAGGCGGTCACTCCCGTTGTTGAGCGCCTGCTTCGCGCGGGGAAGGCCTTCGCCAACGCTGAGGCCAAAGCGAAGAAGGAAGCAGAGGAGAAGACCACGACGGACGCAGACGCAAAGGCGGTTCCTCCTGCGGTTGTCCCTGGCGCGGATGGCCGTGCCGAGCCTCATCCAGCTGCCGACCAACCAGCCGACCTTCCTCCTGAAGACGTACGAGACGACCCTCCCCCTCCTGGCGACGATGCCCATGCCGTTCATGCTGATCTTCACCCTCTTCTGGTTGACGTGCGTTCCGACCTACATCCTCCACGCGGGGGCGCTCGTGGCGCAGACGATCGCCTTGCGGACGCTCCTGGCGGTGTCGTTCCTCTGGAGGAGAAGGCCTGGGCGGAGGCCTATGAGCTGCTCGTGCAGGCCGAGACCGTTGCGAAGGAGGATGAAGCAAAACCGAAGACCGAAGCCAAAGCGAAGAACAAGAAGATTGTCCGTCGTACGGGTGCTGACCGACGATGGAATGTTTCACTGAAGGACGCGAACGCCGCTGCCAAGGCCTATCTGTCCACCGCCAAGGCGAAGCAGGACGAGAAGCTCCACGACGTCATGGAGCTCCCCGACAAGCTGGACCTGCTGACGCCCCAGGAGAAGGCCAAGGCCATCTCCCTCCCCGTGCGGAAGGAGGGCTGTGAGCTGCCGCCCGCCCGCGCTTCCCCCTTCCCCGTGTTCCTCTGCCGCTCCGACCTCCTTGCCCTCCGCCCCTCCTCCTCCTCGATGTGTGCGCACTTAGACGACGTTGCAAATCGTAATCGCAGTGTCAGGCACGATGCATGTGTTAAGCATAGATGTGGTAAGTAGGCTGGAGCTGGACTGCGCCCCCCCCAGACGCTCCAACCTCCTCCTCCTCCTCCTCCTCCTCCAGTCGAGGATCTGCAGACTGCCAACGAGACCCACGACGTCCGACGACCGTCCCGCCGACCGTCGGGCGACAAGCCAGACGACAGTGACCCGACCGACGACTGCACGTCGGCCGTCCGTCAGCCGTCCGATCCCAAAAGATGACCGTCCGACGACCGCCGACGGCCGCCCGCCGATCGCCAGACTGACCGCCGACGACCGAACGTCTACTGTCCGACATCTGACGGCGACGACAGACTGCCGTCTGCTACCCACTCCTCCTCCTCCTCCTCCTCCTCCTCCTCCTCCTCCTTCTCCCTTGCCTCCTCCTCCCCCTCCTCCTCCTCCTCCTCCTCCTCCTCCTCCTCCTCCTCCTCTTCCTCCTCACCCTCCGCTCGCCCCCACGTGTCACCAGCCGCCATGACACACCCCAACTGGATCAGACCGGCGGGCAAGTCGTACGTAGCCGCCATGGGCTGCCTTCGCCTTTCTGGTCACGCGTTGCGGCACCGTCGCAACCTCCCCCGCCAAGCGAGAACGCAACCTGACAGATAACTACCGAGCATCCCCGAGAGGACCTCCGACGAGCGGTGCCACTACGGTCCCGCAGAAGTGGACAAGGGCCACATTCGAATGGTGACCCTCCAGCTGGCCACATGGGCGCCGGTGCAAGCGTCACCCCCACGTTTCGTGCCGCGCTGCGCCGCGGGTCACGCCGAGGCGCCTGCAGCAGCCACCAGGCTCGCCAGGCTCGCTGCTCGCGTGCACCGACTGCCGCACGCAGAGGAGGGCGCTGACGATCCTTCTAGCCACAGCATCCCTCACCACATCACCGCTCGGCCGCCAGCGACAACGCCAGCACCATCACCCACTACGTCGGGACCACCAGGGCCCTCCGGGGCCAACGCAGTGGCAGATTGGGCCGATGCCCTGGCCGCCGACAATGGCCTCTTTCCTTCCCCCGTACCGCACCTATCCACGAAGGCATCGAGGTGACGGTTACAAGCCAGGGGCTTAACCCATCGCCACCACAGCACCGTCGTCGGCCAAACGGAGGAACACCAGCAGTGTTCGGTGGTCCACCTGACCAATGGTAACATTGCACATCTGCGCACGTCCAGCTTGATAGCTGTCACCCCTAGCGGAGAGAACCCCTTCGACGTCCCACCGCCGACCGACAGACCAGCGTCCGACGACTGACTACGCTCGTCCGCCGCCCGTCCGACGACTGCCCGACGACCGTCTGCCGACGTCTGCCGCCGACGGCCGCCGAACGAATGTCGTTCGACCGACGTACACGCCTGCCGACCAGGCAGCCACATGCCGCCACCGTGGCTCCTAGCGGCCCTTCCGCCGAGTGGCCGCCGAGCACCACTGGCACTTCCCAGCAGGGCCACCAGGCCCACACGACAGCCAGGCTACATGCCGTCACGCACGCCGTCCCCCTCGCCCCGTGCCGCGAAGGGGTTGGCGTGCTCCCTCTCCGCCTGTGCGCCCCGCTTTGGACCCTCCTTCGTGGGCTCGCCCGGCTGGCAACCCCTCCACGTGCTGCTCAACCTTGCAGGTGCGCTGCCGCAGTGGCAACGACGAGGCACGCAACCCGCCGCGGGCCGCGCTCCTGCCCCCTCGGCGCCCCTGAGAGTGACACGCCGCCAGGCACGGCCGCGCGGCGCAAGCCGGACCACTGGCTTCGCCAGAGCGGCGGCGGCGGCGACGAGGAGGAGGAGGAGGAGGAGGAAGAGGAGGAGGGGGAGGTGGAGGAGGAGGCGGCGGACGCTATCAGAGGGACGTACCGGGCCCACCTGACCCGACCAGGCCGTCCCGCCAGCGACGGCGACGCCGCCGCGCGTCAAGCCAGAGGCCCCATACGGCCCCCCACGGCCCCCGACGGCTTCATTCTTTACCAGGCCGTCGCGCCATCTCACTCTGGGTGCTTGCCGCCTACCTGATTCACCCCACTTCGGTTGATTATCTACCTCCGGCACGCCCTCGGACCCCAGGGACTGCGGAAGAAGGCCCTTCCTTGGCCCGACACGCTGACAGCGGACCAGTGTCTCATGCTCCGAGAGCGAGCACTGCGATCCCTGCCACGTGCCTCCCATTCGACGCGTTTCGCCCTCGCCCACCAGCCCACCACGAGCGCCCAGCACCACTGGTGTCTGTTATGTCGCGGAGATGGAGACTGAGGACGGGGTTTGACGGTTGAGGCATGGAAGACGAAAGCAAAGTCGCTAACGATTCAATTCGATTGGTGGTCCCACTCCCTCTCTCTCTCTATCCTTCGCTCTCTTTCTGCCGTCGCAAGTCGAGTCGATCGGTTGCACTGCCCCTCCTCCCCTCGCTCCGCAATGCTTTTCCCCTCGCTCCCTCTTCTTAATGCCGAAGAAAGCAACAACAGCATACACTGCAACTTTCGGAGGTCCGCGCGGAGCTCTTGGATTGGCAAAGGACCCCCGTTCCTGGCGCGCGAAGCGTGCCGAGGGCAGCGCCGGAGGTGCCGCCAGGGAAGCCAGGGGGTTCAGCTGCATTCCTGTATCATCTTCCCCCTGCCCACAACTCCTCTGCCTTCTCACTCTTCTTTTCTGAGCGTGTCACGCCTAGAGTTCTGGTCAGCTCCAATGGGTCCGCGTTTCCGTGGACCTCTGTCTTTCGTTTGATCTCGGACGCCTGCGATAAGGATGTCTGCGCATGAGCCGCGCACTGGTCTGCTCTTACGCATGCTCCCCCCTGGATCAGACGACGACGCAGCAGTTGGAATGGGAGCGGGAGTACGAGCAGAGCCTGAAGGCAGACCACGAGATGACAAATCTCAGCCTCGAGGACGCGCTGACTTCTTCATGTTTGGCCAGCCAGCACCTCTAGCCTTTGGCTTTGGTTTGCTTGGCTCTGGGCCCATTTCAATGTTGGTCAGGGAGGTTTTCGATTTCCTTGTCGCGGTCATGGCGCAGTCAAGTCGCTGAAATAATGACCGCTTCGGGTTTAGGAGGGGCGCTAGTTTTCGTGCCGTTCCTCAGATCCAGGTCAGTGAACTTATTTGTGGCCGAGGCTCGGCGCGGCTCGGAACATTGGGAGGAACGCGAATACGCATGATGAGTGGGTAGGTGGGCGGGAGAAACAGGAAGAGCATTCAAACTCATAAGGTACATGCCGCCTTGCCACCTTTGGCGCCATTCTGCTTTCCATGTGGAATATCCGGGCACTAGCGCTGTATATCGTGAGCGTGCACTGGACGATGAGCGATACGGCTTTGGCAGGCGCAGCCAATTTCCTCAGCGGTGCAGAGATGGAGATGCTGCGCAAAAGCTCATGACCGAGGTGACTTTCTGAAGACGAGTGAAACCAACATGTGGATTACGCGTCCTGAGCCGACGCGGGAGAGCCGAAGGCGGCGTGCAACGGAAACCAGCGCACGCAAGTGACAGACGGCAGAAGTAGGGCGAGGGGGGGGGAACTGAGCGGCGGCTCGACCACCTTGTCGTGTGGGGTGGCAGTTTTGGGGCCACCGCGTATGAATCCTTTAAGACCACCTTCCCCCCCGCATACTTCGCACGCCCCCGGTGGATCGCCCTCCCCGTCCTGAAAGGAGGGGGGATGGGGAGGAGGACGAAAACGGAGGGAGGAGGAGGAGGAGGAGGAGGAGCAGGAGGATCAGGAGGAGGAGGAGAAGGTGGCTTGCTTTGCTATGTCAGAGGTCTGCAGCGAGCGGAGTGGACGGCTCCTCCTCTTCCTGCTCTTTCTACTCCCCCCTCTTATTACTCCTCCCCCTCCCCCCTCGCTCGCCCCTTTCAAGTTAGGATGCAACTCCTGGGAGGTTAAACTATGTCAGCATCGGCGCTGGAATGTCCGTGGTCGACAAACGGCCTGATCCGGCATATCCCGCCGAATATTTTTCAATCTCGCTCAACCTTGGCTACTCGGGCTTCGTCCGCCTTGATCCCGGGAGTACTCTGGCTTGGTACGGCATGCTGGCCCCTTGATCGGGCTCGATCGCCCAATCGTTCTCACGAGGACTTGCTCCCTAAGCTGGCGTCCTCCCGAGCCAGCAGAGCGGCAGGCGCTCGCGAGCGGCTACCTGGAGGCCCTCCACGAGATCGCCGGCGTCGAGCAATAGCCCCCTCCAGTCGAGGACGCCCGCCACTGCCCTGCGCACCCAAGATTGCCCCAGGACGATCCAAGAGGCCCCCAAGAGTTGGGAACCCCCAAGCCGGGTGGTGAGATACCAGGTGGCGACCTGGAATCCCCAAAAAAGGTCACCGCTGGGTTTGGGGACACGGGGTCACCACCGGGTTTTGTGACTCCTGGACCCACCAGTGTTCGGGACATCTTCGGAAAACCGCACGAGTCCCCAAACCGGGTGGTGACACCAAATCGCCCGAGACTCACCGCCAGGTGTTGTCACCACCACGTTTGGGGATTACCAAAAGAGGCCGTAAGACGATCCAAAAAGGTTCCCAGACGGCCCGAGAGAGTCCGAAGACTGCCCAAGGCAGGCCCTGAGGGTCCTAACAGGGTGCCAAGGGAGCCCCAGGAGGGATCATAGGAGGTCTCCCAGACGGCCCAAGAGCGCTCCAATAGGGCCCAAGGACGGCCCACGCCCTCCTCAAGATGGTCCAAGAGGACCCCCAGCCGGCCCAGAAGAGCACCCCCAAGAAGACCCAAGAGGCCTTCAGAGACTCCCAAAATGTTGCCAACTTGCCGCAAGGAGGCTTCCCACTGGGCCCCAGAAGCGTATTCGTGAGGTCTCGCGCCCACGTCCTGCACGGCGTTCCCAGACTTGCTTCCAGAGGCTCCCGATTCACGATCCATGCAGGGCGTGCCAAGGTCCCACAAAAACACGCCGCGAGGCTCCGACGGGCACCCGAGACGCCCCGAACGCACGATCCAGGTCAAGGGTGCGCCGCTATGGCGGCACGAGGGCCCTGGCTGCAAGACCACGACCCCCCACGGGGTCATGCCCGTGCCCCCGCTTCATTGGGCGGCCGCCGACTGATCCCCCGAGGCAGCTCATTTCTGCTCGCTTCGGCCATCTGTCGGCCAGTCGGCGCCGTGAACGCCAAGGCGTCCGCGTTGACGGCGGACCTGCTGTGCACGCCACGGCAGACCAACTCCACGAACCTCATGAAAGACAGCAGGGACAGCGATAGTGTCCAGCCGCCGGGCAAACGCCAGGCCTCTCTGCAGGCCTTCGTTGTTGGGCGCCCGTGACATGTGACAGACACCCAGAGCTATTCAGCAGGCGCGTGCCGATGGCGTGGCCGCCAGCCCCAAAAAACACTCATTGCGTTCCCGTTTGCCCTCCCGCTCCACGCTGCCCCTCTCGACGGTCGGGATCGTCGTCCTTTCTCCTGGCAGTGACCTTCAACCCTTTGGTGGCCATCAGCGTCGCCCCTTCATAGCGACCACCACCCCCCAAACGGCGGAGGAGGAGGAGGAGGAGGAGGAGGAGGAGGAGGAGGGAGGAGGGAGGAGGGAGGAGGGAGGGAGGAGGGAGGAGGGAGGAGGGAGGGAGGAGGGAGGAGGGAGGAGGGAGGAGGGAGGAGGGTCTGTGGGAATTGCTTCTCAGAGCCGCGCAACCCCCCTTGGTGGCGACCGGCACCCCAGCGACGGCCCCTCGAGATTTTCAGTGTCCGAGGGCCGCCTCCGGCCCAACAGGACACCAAATCTCTGGAGGGACGTCGAAGGGATGGGAGCCAGAGGCCCGACATGCGCGAAAGTCCGAAGGGGTGCACATTTTTTTCGTATGATTGAACTTCATTGCGTTTGCCTGGACAACCGTTTCTGCGATAGTGCGCAGCTAATCTGGCGTTACATCGACCCCCCTGGCGTTCATGGGGTTCGCCCTCCTTTCGGTGTATACCTGCCCCACCCCCGCTATCCTGACCAATGACCATCTCACGATTACCGCCCTCGCCGCCTCATGGTCACCTCCATGGCCCCCCTTCTGCCCCGCATTGCCGACATCACCTTCCCAGTCGATCTCCCAGTCACGATGTCAGCCCCATACCAAGGCCATGTCCCGAACCTGCGTGAAGGTCATGACTGGAGCCCTTCTCACATCATGACTTTCACCCACCTCGCGGCAACCTTATCGGCGTTTTCCCAGTCATCGGCCTCGAGGCCACTGCCCAGACCCCGCTTCCACGACCTGCACCGTTCTCGCGGTCATGGCGCCCACCACATCGACGTCAAAGTCGCAGCCCCAGGTGGGGTATTTGCTTACCCTGGTATTGAGGTCCTCACCGTCGCCCCCGTAGCATATAGGCTTTTTCCCCCATGGCATAATTTTGCCCATGGGTTCCATCCAGCCGAAGGCCACAAGACTTGAGGGCTCGCTTCGCTTCGCCTCAAAGCTTGGTCCTGCGTCCGAATGCTGCCAGGGTACAGCCTAAAGCTTCATCTGTGCGGACAGGTCATGGCCAGCAGGCGAGTGCGGGCCGGTAGCTGGATGGAACCCATAGGTACGTTCATGCCATGGGGGGGCGGCCCTGATCGCCACGAGGGCGAAAGTGAGGACCTCGATGCCAGGGAAAGCCAATACCCCACTTGGGGCAACGGCTATGACGTCGATGGGGTTGGACGTCATGACCGCGAGCAGGGTGCAGGTCGTGGAAGCGGGGCTTGGGCAGTTGCCGCGAAGCCGCTGACTGGGAACACGCCGATGAGGTGACCGCGAGGTGGATGAAGGTCATCATGCGACCGGGGCTCCAGTGACCCTCACGCAGGTTCAGGGCATGGCCTTGGTATGGGGCTGACATCGTGACCAGGAAGATGCGGTCGGCAATGCGAAAAGGGAAGGGGCTCATGGACGTGACCATGAGCAGGCGGGGGTGGTAAGCGTGACGTGGTCCTTGGTAATGATAGCGTCGGGATCCCAGGTGTACACCGATAGGAGTGCGAACCCCGTGACCGCGAGAGGGGGTCGATGTCGCGTCGGATCAGCTGCGCACAGGTTGTAGCGCAAACGGTTGTCCAGGCAAACCGAGCGAGGTTTACGCGTGCGAAGATCATGTGCGCACACCAGACAATCCGCGCGCGTCGTGTCTATGCCCCCCAACCCCTTCGACGCCCTTCCGGGTAATTCCAAACCTTCATGCTGTGGATTATCGTTTTGAATAGAGCACTGCGAGGTCCGTCCTCGCACCGCCTCACCCCCCTCCTGTTCCCCTCCTCTACTCCCCGTGGCACTCGTTTAATTCCCAACCCCCCTTCCCAACCCTCCTGTGCTGGGCTCTCGTTTTGACTAGAGCATTGTGCTGTCCAAGACTCCTCCTCCGTCCCCCCTTTCCTGCCTCCTGCTTCCTGTCCCCTGTTTCCTTTTCCTTCAATTCCTCCTCCCTTCTCTCCTTCGTCCTGCTTGCGCCCCTGGGGGGCTGCGAAGTGCGCTGCTGTCACCACGTTCGTGGGCGCCCCCGGAGTGGAGGTCCACGGGGACCCAGTTGGGACCTCGCGGCCCCCTTTGGGGGGTTGCGGAGTGCGCTTGCAACTGTTGCCACTTTCGTGAGCTCCTGGGAGGTCCCGCGGGGTGGAGGTCCACGGGGACCAGGTTGAGATCTCGCGGCTCCCTGGGTGGATGCGAAGCTCGCAACTGTCGCCACTTTCGTGGATTCCCAGGAGTTCCCGCAGGGTGGAGGTCCATGCGCCATAGGAAAGGATCCAGTGGAGACCTCGCGGCTCCCAGAGGGGTTGCGAAGTGCGGAGGAGGAGGAAGAGGAGGAAGGTGAGGAGGAGGGGGAGGAGGGGAGGAAAGAAGGGGGGAGGGGCTCACTTCCCGATCGGCCAGTCAGACTTCCCGGGGAGATCGTCGTCGTCGTCGACGTCGTGCGTCGTCGTCGTCGTCGTTGTCGTCGTCGTCTTCAGGTTTCCTTGGGAGGTAATCGTCGTCGTCGTCGTCGTCGTTGTTGTCGTTGTCGTCGTCGTTATCGTTGTCTTCGTCGTCGTCATCGTCGGGTTGTCGTTGTCGTCGTCGTCGCAGGCGTTGTCGTGGTCGTCGTCGTTGTTCTCGCAGATGTTCATGTTGTCTTCTGGTTTTCCTGGGAGGTCGTCGTTGTGGTCCTCTTCGGGTTCACCTGGGAGGTCGTTGTCGTCGTCGTGGTCGTCGTGGTGGTTGGTTTTGTCGTCGTCGTCGTCTCGTCGTTGTCATCGTCGTCGCCGCCGCTGTCGTCGTCGTCGTCGTCGTCGTTGTCGTCGTCGTCGTCCCGTCGTCGTCGTGATCGTCGTCGTCGCCGTGGTCGTCGTCGTCGTCGCGTTTGTCTGATTGCACGCCTAAATGCTTTCTGAGCACTGTATGTGTTTCAACAATTTTGTTTGTGTTGAGCGGTCCTGTGTGTAGGCCGCCTCATGTTTCAAACATGTTGGATAAGTCCCCGGGTAACTGTTTTTCATCCCAGGTGCGAGCTCCTGGGATCGCCTTGCCATCCAGAACCGCTGTTGGACAACCCTGGGACCGGAAGGCGACACTCGGACACAGAAAACCTCGAGGGGCCGTCGCCTGGGTGGCGGTCGCCACCAAGACAGGGAGGGTGGGCAAGGAAATTGGTCGGATGACCGAGGTGGGTCAAGGTCGCGGTTCTGACATGTCACCCCAACAGATGGAGGTGACGGCCGTTTGGGAAGGGTGGTGGTCGCTATGACGGGGCGGCGCTGATAGCAACGAGAGGCCCACTCGGGGACACACCGCACCCTGCGACAGGAGGGAACGGATGGGGGGTGGATCGACCTTGAAAAAACAGGATTTGAGGGAGTTATTTTTTCTCAACCATCCTGTGGCGTTGGGTCCTCGTCCTTCTCCTCCTTCTCCTCGTCCTTTCTTCTTCCTTCCTCCTCTCCTCCTCCTCTTCCCCCTCCTCCTCCTCCTCCTGCTGCTCCTCCTCCTCCTCCTCCTCCTCCTCCTCCTCCTCCTCCTCCCCTCCGTAGCCATTTTGGCTCAAGATGTCTTTGTCCCTTGGACAGAAAACGGGTACCTCTAGTCCGAGGCTAGTCCCTGTTTCAGGCAACCCCAGTCGAGCTGCGCGCTGCTGGGGCCAAGAGTTCCCCTCCTCGGGTACACAGTCCGAGCCTCATTCGACTTCGTCGTGCGTGAACACTGCTACATCTGCGGGCGCGCTGCCATGG